TTTAGGGCTTTAATCTGTAAACTATGGATAAAATCCATTTAGTAGGTAAGAACAAGAAATGAAATAACATGTGCAAAAGCTGCTTTAGAAATTACCAAGTACTGCTAAAAGTGATCATCTGTGGACTTTTATCTGAATGCCAATTCTAGAAGACTATCAATGAAATTTTCAAAGTAGAGAAAAACATCCAATTTAGTACACTGGAGGTTTAAAAGAAGACAATTTTTTTTTCGTTACCTAAAAGCAATTACTTAATGGTTAAAACAACCCATTCAAAAAATAGTTTAAATTTTATTGCTTTTGTGTAGACAATCAGATGGCAAAAAAAATCTGGCCCTGTAATAATGTAAAATACATAATAATAATAAAAATAAAATAATGTAAAAAACAAACGTTGCCATGCAAAGTAATTTAATCACATGACAATGCTAGTCATAACCATGTGGAACGTTATCAATAATGACAACCAGCTTTTAACCAGAACCAGCTCATTAGATTTTTGAACTTAAGACTGATTTTGCTTACATTAGCAATCTTTTAAATCAATTTCAAAAAAAAAATTGGAGTTATTTCTCATATGAATATGAGCAATTTACTCATACTCTGAATAAAATGACATGTTAGCAAATCCAATTTATGCTGGCATCTAAAAGATCCAAATCACCTCAACGCAAAGCAAGGAACATTAAGTCCATGATATTATTTCTGTAAGATTCATAATTCCTGCAAGTAAATCATAGTATTTTTGCTAAACTACTTGCAAATAATTATGATAAAGCCAGATTTATGACACCTCCATTTGTGAAAAGAGGTCTGAGAGAGGCAGCTGCTTTATGTGGAAGCCTTGCCAACAGACTCTCATACAACTTACGGTGAATTGTAGTGGCTCAATCCATAACAGTAACTGATAAATGAATGATATTTTGCATATCAACATGAGCTTCTAGAATTCTGCTTCCAGACTGGTATTTCAGAGGAACTAAGGTTGGTTCCAATAGATATCCAACTCCTTAAACATCAAATACTACGTGTGGATAACACTTGCTATTATCACTTAGATAGCTACGTTGTCCCTTGCCTTTTTTTTTCTTCTTCTTCTAATAGGTTCTATTTCTTGACCTATGTCTTCAGCCCTGCTTTTTACTAGTTATTTTGGTATTGGAATTTTCTCCTGAGGCTCACTTTGAATTACCATCCACAGATCTCAGCCTCTGGAATAGCTAGGATTATAGGTGTGAGAAAACAGTACTTAACTTCCAGGGTCTTTTATAACAAAGGAAGCAGGACCCAGGCTCACTGGCTGTACTGGCAAAGAGCATCAACAAAAGATTAAATGATCTTTTTGCTGTTTACATTCTTATATTTACCATCTTTTATAGTAAATAACGCCAGATTTTCCCCCTTTACGCATTTGGAAATGGATTTATTTAAATGAGTAGCCTGACTTAAAGAAAAATATTGTGTGGAATTACGTCAGCAAATAATCAAGCTAGAACCTGATTAACATTGGGAAGAGATGTTTGAGCTACATGTTGGTACTTGGACTTTGTTCAGAGATTCAGCTGACTATAAAGTTAACAAGTAAATTAACATAAATAATCAAAGGTAAAATACTAATGGCTGACATTTGAGAAGGGTTTAAATTAAGAATAGAGACTGTAAATGTGGACTTGTCCAGGCTGAATTAACATCTCTCACCTCTTGGTCTGCCTGTATGAGAGAGGAAGAAAGTTATGGAACTTTTCATGAGTAAATGCAGTGAAGCAGCAAGGCACAGAGCAGCTCAAGTAGTAGCTAGAATTACAAGCATGAGTCAGTGGTGCCTGTATATTTATAAATCTGAAAGTTGCAGCAAGAAACACCTTGCTTTTAAAAACACTGAGTAAAATGAAGAGAAAAATCAGACATGCTGGAATATTTCAAAACAAAGAAAACATGTTATTGCTATCTAATTTCCAAGAAGGAAAGCAAACTATATTGCAAAAACAATCAGACTATGAAACCTGGAAATACCAAAATGATACTACAACCACTCACTATCACTAATCAAATGGAAATCATGGTTAATCATCAACTCCCCAAAAGGCAGCTTGCTAGGAAAAACAAAACAAGCAAAAAAACTAAGGCCTTTTATTTCTCTACATAGGTTGCTCACCAATTCAAAATTTTTCCACTAACATTAAATAATTTACAGGTCTTGTTGCCACTTCAGTGCTGTTCTTTCTTGTTCTGGAAGTGGTAGTATTAAAGGAACTGCCTGAATGTTAAAGGAACTGCTTATTTGTTCATAAAAGTCACAGGTAAATAGCAACAGGTATTCACAGAGTGACCCCATATTTTCCTTAATTTCATCAGAAAACACAATCCCTCCCTTGGAAAGTAGAATGCTTCCTAATATAGTCCCAAACTTACGATAGTTCAACTTGACAATATTTTGGCTTTATGGAGTTATGAAAGCAATATGCATTTGGAAGACATAGCACTTGGAAAACTATCAATATGCCATAGGATCCTCTCTCATGATGTGATGTGAGCAATGGTAGTGTGGCAACTCCTATTCAGGAGTGTTAAGGATGGTGTTGCTAATTTATGATGCTAGATTGGTTAGAGGAATTAAAGGCATTTCTATATCCAGTAATTCAATTCATAATGTGATTCATTTTCAGTCAAGAAGCATGTGAGCATTTCTAAAAATCAACATTTTTTGTTTTTACTGTTAAAAAAAAGAAAATGCAAGAATTACCCTTCTTGGATTTCATCAAATAAGAGAGAAAAATTTCCAAAAATATCACAGCTCCTGTCTGTAAAAGGCAGGAGACGATGAGAGTACTGAGAATAGTTCTCAACCTTGTGTACATCTCTTTCCCTTGGCAGTATTCCAGGGCTACCATGAAGTGCCCCATATACTGCAGGCAGTCATGCTCCCTTCAACATCATCACCAATTTACCTCTAAAACCCTTATAAACCCACTAGCACTCTCTTTCACTGCAGCCTTAGAAAGGGACAGCCATACTTCCCTTTTCTGGAGCACTTGACCTTCATCTTTCAGAACTCTACTATCTGACATCTTTAATACTTTCCTTGCCACTGGAGCAACTTCAGCATCTTTCCCAGTGGCTTTGGAAAGCTACACTGTGCTAGATTAACAGAAAAGTTAGACATGAGATTATAAGATATTTTCTTCAGAGACACTGACATGCTAAGAAGGAGATGAAGGAAGATCAAAAACAAATGTTAGCTTAGCACTGGTGGCTCACACCTGTAATCTTAGCTACTCAGTAGGTTGAGATCTTAAGGGTAGAGGTTCAAAGCCAGCCCAAGCAGAAAAATCCATGACTTTTATTTCCAATTAACCAGCAAAAGGCCAGAAATGGAGGTACAACTCAAGTGGCAGAGCACCAGCTTTGAGCCAAAAAAGCTAAGGGAAAATGCCCTGGCCCTGAGTTCAAGCCTACTAGCAACACAAAACAAATAGATGAGCAGAAATAAGAAGCCCTGAAAAAAAAAGTGCACTGTCACCACCGAGTGAAGTACTCTGAAAAGAGGTGACCAAGAGGATCTCCTGGAAGAGCTAACACCTTTAAGCATTTCTTTTCCTATTTCCTCCCAATCCAAATCTACCTCTCACTTCTCTGAAGCAGCATTGGATCATATTACTCTGATTCTGCAAATCTGCAACAGCTCTTCACTGGCACACATGGAGGCCAGGGAACTCTTATGAACAGTGAGGCCATGTAGCCAAAACCCAGTCTCTCTATGCACACAACTCATTCACATGTGTAATACATCAGCTCTGGCCAATAGCGGGACTGTGCAGCACATTCCAGACAGCCTGGAATTTCTTGCCTCTGAGCTTACTCATGTCACTCTATTGCCAGCCTAGACCCACCAAATATGGATGTACAGTACACAATCTGTGTGGCCATATGTAGCTGCCCTGTCTATTTCCATCAAAACCCTTCCAATTATAGGGGACTACATATCATTAAAATATTTTCTGCATTTTTTCCACAATGGACAGGTATCTCAGGTTTAAAAACATAGAAAAAAATTGTACCAAAAACCCCTAACTCAACTCTACTTTCCAAATCCTAATATGAAGGGTATGTTGTCTAAGAAGCTTTCTCTGAGTTATTCACTCAGTGGTATTCATGTTCCACCTTATTTTTAAGGGCTTGGACTGTTTTTAACTTTAGACACACATCTTTCTGTCTCTCATATTTATTATATACCAGGCTTTATATTAGTGGCTTCATATAGGTAATTTCAATTAGTCCCCACCAAACCTGTGACTCTTATATTATCCCTGCACTACAAAAAAGAGCCTATGGTTCTTGTAGGCTCTAGTCCATCTTCACACTCAACTCCAAATATTTGGCAACTGACTCATTTCCCTTTCCAATGTCAGCTTCTAAGTCTCAGCAGACAGTACATTATTTACCTTTGTACTGCTGACCCCCACAATCTTACCCAGCAGCAGGAACTCAAAACCATTTTATGCTTAAGCATAACATACATTCCTTGCAATCAATATTGGGATATGTTTATGATGGTGTGGCTCATACCAATATTAACAGTAAGTCCTAAAAATTCTTGCTTTAAAAGCTATCTCTAAGCTATGTGACAGTGGCTCATGCCTGTAATCCTAGCTACTCAAGAGGCTGAGATCTGAGGATTGCGGTTCAAAGGCAGGAAAGTCCCTGAAGACTCTTATCTCCAATAAACCACTAGAAAACTGCAAGTGGCACTGTGGCTCAAGCAGTAGAGCACTCGCCTTGAGCTGAAGAGAGCAGGGACAGCGCCCAAGCCCAGAGTTCAAGCCCCACGACTGAACAAAACAAAACAAACAAACAAAAAAATCAGACAGTACCCAACATTTGAGAAGGTATTAACCCAGTCTAGGAATTCTCTCCCAATGAGGGAGAGATACTATGGCCTTTGCTTTAGTTCTGCTTTATTTACTTTTTAATAATGATTATATAAACACTTAAACACTTACCATAATGTGACTGAAATGCTTGTGGTTTGACAACCTGATTACAGTCGTTACACACCACCAAGTAGAAATCATCATGGGCTGGACAAAGACCAAATATTGGCATGTCTGCAACAAAGAAACAGAGCATCAATCACTCATCTGGATATGACTGCTGTGAAATAATTTGGAAGAGTAATACTTTCTAAAGGGGCCTCCTTATCATAAAATGCACAAGGACAAATGGTACACTGGTTTAAAAGTAACCTATGAACATACCATGACCAAAAAAGAAATCAAACCAGGCTTTAGACTTTATAGGTCTAAAATAAAATATGCAAAATTGTTACAAGGTATAATAGATACACCTATTAGAATGAAAACAATGAATATATTCATGCAATAGAACAATTTAGATAAACTCTACCAAAAGTTGCCAGAAAGTACTTGGTAATTCACAAAACTATACCTGATAATGGTTTTTGTTATTTAATTTTACATTCTATTTCAGTTATCAGATCTCTGAGTTCTACAACCCAGTTAAGAAAGTGAGGCAGAGATAGCACTGAAGAGTATAATTGCTGCTTTTGGCAGCACGAAATACAAAGGAAAAATATCATTATTAAATTTTAGGCCACAACAACCAACCTCTATTCTTTCTGCTAAATGAAGACACCAGACATAATGCCTTCAGTACAAACAGCATTTCACATATTAACAGCAATCTGGTCTCCAGAATAAGCCAAGAGACAAGATTATTTTGTTTTCAGAATAACAAATCAATTTAAAATGCAAAACTGAAGAAAAACTATCTGCATATAAATGAAAATTCAAAGTAACCTCATACTTTGTAAATATGTTTAAATAAAAGTCGCAACCATAAAATAATTCAACAAAGTATTTCAAGATTAGTGATTTCAAACAGGTATTGTATATAATATGCACAATTGAGAATATCTGCAATACACTGATAGTACAATTTTCTCCCTCAGTACTGGTAACTGAACTCAGGGACTCAGGCTTGCTAGACAGGTACTCTACCACTTGAGACATGCCTCCAGTTTCTTTTGTCTTGGTTATTTTCAAGGTAGAATCTCACTTTATGCCCAGGAAGCCTGGGCTTTTTTCCTTCTACTTAGCTTCTTCCACTGAGCTACTGGCCTTCCCCATATGTGCAATAAAAGGCAAGCACCATCATGACAGCCACTGGTACTTCTTTGTTGGCCTCAAACCTCATTCTCTCAATGTCTGTCTCCCAAGTATATAGGATTACAGGCTTGAGCCATTAAGCTAGGCTAGGTATCACACCATTAATGCAGAAAAGTATTTTGGTAGACTAAACTCTATGTTTAAAAGGTGAAAAATGCTGGCTATATAGCTCAATGGTAGAATACTTGCTAAGCATGTGCAAGTCCATGGGTTTAATCTCTAGTACTGGCAAATAAACAAGTATAAGGAAAAGGGCCCAAATAACTGATTTTTATTTTCATTCTTTCATATAGATTTAATTTCCCTTTCTCTAGCATTCATGATGTTGGTGATTTTAAAGGGAGAAAAAAACGATCTAAGGAGATGGCATATGAAGAGAATCTTTAAAAAATATCAAATGATTGATCTACCATACAAAGCTACAGTTTAGTCTGTATTGCGCAGTTTCTGTGGCACTGAATTACAGATAGTTAACTATAGATATGAACTATTCCAAGGTTCTACATGACTCGAACACAACTGCAGCACTGAGTAGTTTCTATATGCTATTTATCTAATTTTAGCTTCCCAACTACCTACAGAGATACCATTTTATCATCATTATACCTAAAAAGACAAGAACGCCTGCCCCCAGTCTATGGTCAACAGCTGGGACCCGACTCTTACAATAATGGCTTAAAATCAGAGGAATGGTTTCTAGACATTCATCCAGATCCCAACACCAGCAAATTACAATATCCAGAGGCTAAACACCCCTAATTGTGTAATTTGAGTAGATAATATCAAAAGCTCCCAGTAGATTGCTGATTTCTCTAAACTTATTTAACAAAAATAAGTAAAAGCCAAAGAAAGTGCTATTTTCCTTGAAAACATAACCACATTGAGCTAAGTTAGTACATGTGGGAGAAAAGGAAAGGTTATATTCCATGTAATGACATACATAAGCCATTTTCCCTGACTTTCTTGTAATTGTATTTCATACTATTAGAACTTAAAAGCAGTTTAGCCTAAATTCCATTACAAACGTGGTGCTAAATGTTCTATAGGACTATTAACTATGAAAATTCATATTACAAAGGTGACACAATTTTTTTAACTTACAGTTTAAAAATATCAAATTTCTATATTCAATTAATGGTTTCATTAATGAAATCAAGCCAATTAGTTTGATTAATTAAATAGGAGTTAACCTGTGTTAGTCAAGTTAGTTTTAATCTGTGATAGTTTTTCTTACAATGTTCAATGATAATTCTATTTAAAATATTCTCTGCCAGATACTTGTAGAAGCTAGATCCTTTCTCCTTTAAAAACAAGATTTGAGAGTGAAAAGACAGGTAGCGTGAAGACATAGGTTGAATGTAGCTTAGTGGAACATTTGACTAGCATGCATGAAGACCTGTATCACTAACAAAACCAACACAGATTTTTTTAAGTAATAAGGATAGGAGCTTGTCACAATGATGTTTATGTAGAAAGAGTTCTGTTTTGTACTAGTTCTTTTTATCTTTCTATGAAATTTATGATTAGTAAGGGGTTAGTCTTAAGGAACCAGAAATCTACATTTATGCAAAAGCAGAAAATCCTGATAAGGAAAGTAATGAGAAGAATCACTACTATGTCCAAGTTCCTGTGCTAAGCACTTTTCATATAGCTATCCTGTTTCTTCTTCTTTTTGCTATCAGTAACAGATTTAATATTACTAGTAACATGTTAACTGTATTAATTAACACACTAATTAATGTGATTCACTGTTACTTTCCATGCACACATATATCATGCATTTATACGTATTTGCCCTTCTTGGTCTCTTTTTGTACTTTTCAATCCATTTATTTCTAACCATAACTCTAAAATATCATAACTCTAAAATATATTATTTACATGAACTTGTCTACTCAGCAGGAAAGCAGCATAATCAGAACTCAAGTTTGCAGTCATTAACCTCTCATTAGCATATTGCATATTCCTAAAAGGTTGAATATATGTGCAACACACACACAAAATAGGGCATACTTAAATCCAGTTCATGCTACTCTATGAAACAGAGTTGTTATAATAAAAACCTAAAGCAACTGTAACTTTAGCTTTCAAAATTCTTTATTTTCAGACATCCATATTTGGAGTAAGCTAAAAGATACAAAATAATTCAAATAAAATGTCCTCTTCAGGAGTTCTATATCCTTTTTCTGTACTGGAACATTCCAGAGGCCTTAGCAACAGGAACAGGGTGGAATGTTGTAGCAACAAAAAGAAATAAAATAATCTGTGTGAGAGCAACAAAAAGAAATAAAATAATCTGTTTCTGAACATTTTTAAAGCAATTTGCAATCAGCCCATCCAAAAATTAACATGATTCTTGCCCAAATGTAGAGATAAGTTTGACTTAGAACAGAAAAAAGTATTGGGCTAATAAAAATAAAGTCATTATTAAATTTACAAGCTTACAAAATACACTTTAAATATGTAACTGAAACCACTGTACTTGAGTTCATGGATTTTGAGCTAATTTGAAAGAACGAAAATTATTGTTCTGTAAGCCCTATGTTTTTTTCAGGATTTGGGTCACCTCCATGTTCTAATGAATATGTGAGTGGGCTAGCCCCTACATCTAAGTCCCCAGCCAGCATACTGGGAAGGAATGGGTTTAAGCACATGGATACATGAGCAAATACATGTAGGACTTCACAGTCCCACTGAAACCAGATCTCCAACAACAATGAACATATTTAATGCTGATGTTCCTATATCCACTTTGAACACTCTACTTAACAACTGAACTTGAATGTTGTAGAAAAAGCATTTAACCTTTGCGATATTCTGAAAGTTTCCTTTCCCCCACTTATCTATAACTTCCTCATGTAAATCATGTCTATCTTTCTGTCTTCACTCCAAGCTGACTATTCGCAAGCTCTGTCTATTCACATGTCCAAGTGCCTATTAGACATCACCATCTGAGTATGTTATAAATATCTCAAATGGAACAAATATGTCCAATAGAACTTCATTGTTGATGCTGCCCTATTCCTTGTTCCCAGTAACCTTTCCCCTTTTTAGTAAATGATTTTATTCATCATCCATCAATGGCTAAAATTAAAAACCCAGGTGTCATCTAACTCCTCTGTCCATCACTTCCAGGCCATCTGCAGGTCCAGTCAGCTCTATTTAAAAGCCTGTCTATATCTCTTAACTGCCACAGCCACTGTTGCAGGACCTGCCACCAGCACTCTTCCAATAGACGAGGGATGATTTCTCCTAAGAGAGCTTCCATTCTTTCACTAAGCAGCCACAGCAATTCTTTAAAATTTCTCCCTGATAAAGTCAATGCTGTTTAAGTCTCTGATAGCCTCACCAGTGACATTTATGAAGAAAATTTCAATCCTTAGAACAGAACCCAGGATGAAATTCCACTTGCATCTCCCTCTCTCTGTGATTCACTCTGCTTTAAGTTAGTACTGACCACCTTACACCCCACAAAATGCAGAAAGCTCTTTCTCAGCTGGGTTCTGCCCCTCTTCTCCATCAGATGCCTGATACAGTCTTACACATCAAGTCTCAGTTCAGCCGTCATATTTTTAAAAGGCCACTTCCTACCTCTCCCTATTAGTCACTCAATCACTGGTACTTTAAGCCAAGTGGCTAAGCATGTAGGTCACTTCACTCTGAATCCTGGTTCCCTCACTCAAGACAGTAGTTCTATAACATCTTTGACCTTCCAACAATGATGATTATAGTGCCTCCTTCACTCAATATTCCAAAAAGTAGAAAAATTCAGAGACTGAATACAAACAAAATAGCAGAAGGGTACCAGGTCTTTGAAAGTGCTCACATAGACATTGAGACCTCCTAAGTCAGTAGATGGCATAGTTAAGAAATAAAGCCAGGTATTGAACTCATAAGCCCAGACAATTTCTGGTGTTTTC